AAAGAATCACTGGCAAAGGTATCAGCAAAACCAGGTTTAATATAAAAGTGAAAGCAGGACAAAGTTCATTAGTAAGGTTCATTCTACTACTTACTAGATGGCTAAAGCACACAGAGAATAAGCAATCAAAAATCTAAAATCAATCAATCTACAACCAAAAGCAACCTAAAAATTATCTACGTGGAGGCTGGGGGGCAAGAGTAGGAAGGGATAAGGATAAAAAGGAATAAGGAAGACCCTCCTTTCTATTCACAAGGTTCAGTGTAGATCCCCTTGCTAAACTGAGCCCGACTTCACCGACAGTTTAGGCCCAAAGGTTTTAACAGCACTTAATTGATAGCTTAAGTTAAACAATTTAACAAAGGATTCATATAGAATTTACTATAGCACAACAGTAACTCACAGACCTAACTTACGAATCTAACGTACTTAGTAACTAGGACAGCAACGTTCCCAGTACATTTGCTATAGCATGGTCACACTCCCATGTACACAGACCTTAAGAGTCTGTACAAGGTATATACCTGTGAAGAATTCCCCTTGAATTCAGTGAAATACGTCAGATGCCTTTGCATCTTCTCAACAGGTGAAGGGTTGAGCCTCTAGTAGTCAGGGTTATCAGCCCAGGCTCTGTTACTGACAGTCCTCTGAGTACATCAAAAGTGAGAGTTTGCTGGCTCTGAGGCCCCACTCAGGAGATGGCTGTTTGCAGCTGCTGCAGTCCAGGAGAGCTCAAAGGGTCTCAGGACCACTGTTTATAGTGATGCCTAACATGGGAGAAAATACCTCTCTAGACAATGTTAGTACAGATAAGATAGAGAGCAGCTCTTTAATGAAGGCCTTCTGGTGCACAGAGTATGAAGTGCATGCCCGTGTCCAGGGGTTCTACAATTTTATAGTTCTAATCCATCCAATCCCAGAACTATCTACCCCCAGATCTGCCCCCCAGCACACCTCCCCAGAACTGAGTCAGAGGTCTCAAGACCCCTTTGTTCCTCATCTTCCTCCTCCTCCTTCTGGCATGCATTATCTTTGGAGCTTCTCCAAGGTTCCGGGCCTCCAAGGTTGTTTTGGCTACAATGATATCTTGCTGTTCCGGTCTAGACTGCATATGTTCTTAAACAAGATGTGTTTGCTAGAGTCCTTCCTTGAAAAGAACTTTAAACAAGCTTTAAGAATTTAGAAAATTCTATATGAAGTGTGAGAATAGGGTTTGGTAAGTGTCAACTGCTATTCTAAAGTGTGAGAAACTACATAGCTACATTAAAATCTACAAAAAGCTAAAAATCTTAAAAATTCTAAGGCATCAATAGGGTCGCAAGAGAGTTGGCTTTAGTCATAATAATTTTTCTTCCTGGCTGCAGTTTGGGTCAGTAACTTTCTTTGAAAGTTCAATAACAAAAATGTTATTCCACTTGGGTTGTTATTCAGAAAAGAAAAATAAGTTTGCAAGGCTGTTCATTAAAAAACAGGACCTCGTTAGACAGCACTAGATCCTTGGAACAGGCAGTGTTTCTGATAAACTCAAGAGAAATTTAGCCCAGGTGCTGTTCATCAAGGCCAAGGCTTAAGGAGCATTTCTGTGATCAGTGTGGCCCGAGGGGGGATGCACCACCACACTATAACTAGTATAGTGCACTATTTTTGAAGCAATATTGAAGCAATTATATTAAAGCTAGAAAAAACAATCATTAAGTAGAGATTGATGTTACTCACCCATAGCAACAACCACGTGCAAATCTCTTTCACTCAGCCTTGAGGAGTAACCTTAAGGGGTGTCCTCACCCAAGGGAGGAATCTCCACACATGCTCCAAAAAGAGATATGCCATTAAAAAGTGGGACTGGGCTTTTATACTATAAAGTGATTGACTGTCAGTTATATGTTTCTGGGCCAGCTGTGTCAGCTCAGAAGCTATCATTTGTTGGTTCCTTTATCTCAAATGGTTTACTAGGTCTGCCACATCTTCACCTCAGTATCAGGATGTTTAACTTTGGGGTTGATGAGTCAGGCTGGTTTCAGCATTCTTCACCAAAAGCAGCACAACACCCCCTTCTCCATTCACCACTGATAGCTTTGCAAGTAGGGTATCATTCAAGTTGTTTTACCCCCACTCCAGGCAGAGCATTCTGCTACATCCCCATCTTATTAGTAATATCCCACTTAATACTCAAAATTGTAGTTACTATGGTAATTCGAAGGCAGTGGCTAACTGCCTTCCTTCTTCCTGTTGCTTTGGTACTTTAAAGTAGGTGTGGTAGGGTGTGAAGCCTCAGCCCAGTTTGGTGAAGGCATGCCCATGACAGGGAGGTGCAATCTTGCCCTGATCGGTGTACTGTTGGTGGTGGAGCAGAGACCTTCAGCTGCTCCTTGTGCTGGGCTGGTTGCTGTGTCTGGACACTGCCTGTAGATAGTGGGAGCTTACTAAGGGGAAATAAAATAGCTTTATTTTGAAAACTCTCTTTATATCAAACTGCCAGTTGTGCTTTTAAGATGACTGTATTGCATCTGAAATGGTTTATAACATGTCCATGTTGGCTTGATGGGGACTATCAAACTGAGGGTGTGTTTCCATGGTTGTCTGAAGCATGTTCAAGTTTATACTGCTGCCAGGAAGAGGCTCTCACTTTGACTGATTTTCTGCTTCTGTTACCAAATTGTGCTGCTCATGGGCTGCATGGTCAGCAAGATGAGGATATTCTTTAAAAATCAGGTTCAAGTTTGGGCTCTGTTTCCACATCCGTGCTGCTTTATCCCCCCAGGAGTGTTTCAGATATTTTTGTGCATTCCTTTTTCCTTAAAGTATCCTTTCATCCTGAAAAACAAACGTGGCTTAAATAGCAAATTGAGACCCAGTGGAGTTAACATATCTTAAATCACAGTGGGCTAATTCCAGGCAATCATATGTGAAGCTATTAGCTTGTCTTTTAGAGAGGTTAGTGCTCTCTGTTGTGTTCTCTCTTAAGAGTGTTTGTTTTTATGTTTTTCATTGCTTATTGTGGTAGGCTTAAATTGTGATGAATTGACTGATACTTTATTTGTTGAGTACCCATTCCTCGTGAATGCTAGTGAGCAGTTGGGTATTGAAGACATCCTTGTCCATACAATCACAGCAGTGTGCTCAGTTTTCATCTGAGCATTATTGTGCACTGAATTCTGTGCTAGCCAGCTTGCACCAAAGCTGCTGCCCTGACAAGTTTTCTACTGAGGCACATTCATACATTGGGGTTGCAGTAAAAGCACTTTGCTGCTTGTTTGCACATCTCCTTCTGCCCAGGTTCACCACTTGTAGGTTGTCCTTAGTTCCCTAAATTTGCAGATTTTACTTCCCACTGTCACGGTATAGGAACCAGGCAGTTGACTGTGATTGTTTTGACCAGTCGAGAGATCTCTTTTCAATTATCATAACTACTATAAACCATACTTGTCAATTAACCTTGTGTTAGATGTTGTAAAAACACAGGGGAAATAATAAATATCTTGTTTCAAATTAATTTTAATGGTAGAGGATGAATGAGAATGAAAGCTGACTGCCACAAATGAGATAGTACTGATGTGTGTGGGTGTGGTTTGAGTTTTCTTGTTTTCTTTGTTGCCATACAACCAAGGTATGTTTAAAGCAGGGTAAAAGACAGTTTTGTAAATAATTTCTTTAAGCATGAGGGAGAGCGTAAAAATATTGGCTTCAGAGGCTGAATTTAAAGGTAAGCATTGAAACAAAGTAATCAAATCCAATGACAAAGTGTCATTGAATTGGACATTCCTTTAATGCAGCATGCTGGGGGTCATGGGGAATAATTCACTATACATGCCTATTTCGATACAGTTTTCCTGGGTTTAAATACATTGTAACATCTGAAGCTTCCTTCCAAAGATCCACCCACCCCATTACATCATAAACCCATTCTTTGGTTTCATCTTGCTGTTCTTTCATGGAGCAAGACTGCCATCTAGCGTCCTTTTTCCGGTAGGAATGTGAGGAGGGGGCTCGAAAGGGGGCTTCTGACTTCCTCATCACCGAAGTCTTCCTCATGTCCTTTGAGTGACCTGGCCCACGTTGGCAGTTTCCCTAGCGTGTGTGATTAATTTTGCTGACCTCTAGCCTCCTATCTAATTGTTCTAGCTATCACTAAGACACTTACATTCATCACTAGTTAAAGATAACCTGAGGTTCTTCTCTACTTAATTATTGAATTTACTTCTTAGCAAAAAAATTTCTATTGACTAAGCTTTCTGGAGTGTGCAAGCCTTCTTGAGTTAATTTCCTCCATGTGCACCACTCAACGTTTTTCAATTAGTTCAAGTTTTTCATCTTCATTTACTGACACTAAACTAATCAAAATGGTAAAGTCCAGGAAAACATAAATTCCTTAGTCGATTAGGATACAGTTCCTTACAAAGGTCAGAGACCGCTAAATTCCTAAGCTAGTTGTGGTAGAGGTATAGTTGTCTAATTCAGGATCATAATTTCTCTTATAAATAAGAGGTAAGAAGTAGAGTGGGCATTGACCATGACCTCATGTATATATGCAGGAAAGCAGTTTAATGATAGGCAAGAAAGGAATGGCCTAGTTTATGAATGTGACTTCTGTGTTAGCGTTCTGAGTGGGTATGAGAGTGGTTAAATTCCAGGCATCAAAACAAGACAGCAGGTATTAAAGAAATTTAAGGAGTGATACAACTGGAGTTGGAATTTCAGGAGAGTAGCAGATAGAAAAGTCTATATGTTAAATAACTGGGAAAACCTGTGAGATTTTGATGTTGTCTGGAAGTACAGATCTAGACAGATCCCAGTCAGCTGACAAAAATGCTTTTAATCTACTTTATTTCCCCCTTTACTGTAAAGATTTCAATAAATTCAATAATAGTGTATTAAAACTGCTTTCTCAGGAGTCTCTGTATAGAGTTTGTGGTAAAGGCAGGAAGAGTTCAAGCTACTACATTTGTATATTATATGGGTATCAAATCAGTATCCTGCCTTAACTCTTTTTTTCCTTTCAGATTTCCTATTTTGTACATACATTGTTTTGTATATACTGTATATGATGACTTCGGTGAGCAGTGAACGTACCCAGGGCACTCGGGACAAAATGCAAATTTCAACCACACAGCCAACACAACCACAGAAACAAGTAGTACAGGTATGTGCTACTATATAATCTTCTTTGAGCTGAAAGTGAGCATGCTTTTCTTCTGTGAGTCAATAAAAACTGAGAAAAGATGAGGGGGATATCACGGTCTAATTTGGAAGAGTTTGATATCTTGCTTTAATTGCTTAGTTATCCAGCTCAACATTAAGTTGTCCCTGTATTCCTGTCTCCGGAGGAGCTTTGTGTTCTTAAGTAACATTTATCACAAGTGAGGAATTCTATGCCTGTCCCCGTCAGGATTTCTGTCCTGTGACCTTAGTGTCTTTGTAGCTCAGCTCTTTCATATGCCAACTTCATGATGCTAAAAGATTTCTGGTCAATTAAGGAATTTTGGTGGGTGGGAAAAGTTTTGTTAGATGCATGTTGTGTTCTACAGCATGATGCAACATATTTACAAGTCACAAAATCCTAAACTTCTTGTGCAGTGCCTTCACAAAGTGAAATGAAGATGGGTTTTCACTAGCAGACTGAAATTAGAGTATCTTCAGGATTGAAATTAAGCTCTTACCCCAATGTCTTGGTTCTCAGCAACTGAGTAAAGTTGTGTGCTTGCCTGTGTTACAGAGTGCAAAATATCTTAGCTCCTGGCAACTCATTATTCTCTTGTCAGGTACTTCTCAAATTTATATTCAATTCACACAGAATCCCAGAATATGCTGAGTTGGAAGGGACCCACAAGGATCACTGAGTCCAACTCTTGGGCCTGTACAGGATCATTCCCAAGAGTCACACAGTGTGCCTGAGAGCATTGTCCAAATGCTCCTTGAGTTCTGGCAGGCTTTGGGCTGTGACCACTTCCCTGGGGAGCCTGTTCCAGTGCCCAACCACCCTCTGGGGGAAGAACCTTTTTCTAATATCCAACCTAAATCTCCCCTGACACAACTTCAGGCCATTCCCTTGGGTCCTGTCCCTGGTCACCACAGAGAAGAGATCAGTGCCTGCCCCCCTCTTCCCCTCATGAGGAAGTTGTAGACTGTGATGAGGTCTCCCCTCAAGAATTGCCCCAGTTCTCAATCTTGAGGTGCTCCCCTGGGAAATTGTCTTTTTGTTTCCTAGACTGATCTTTAACACTGAGGGGCTCTTTTATTTTGTACAATATTATGTGACCTCAAGCCCTTATCTCTTTGTGTTACAATGCTTTGCATAGTGGTGATTCATGCTAATGTGTGGGTTTAGAAAGTGACTTTCAATAGATGAAGTTGAATTTGTTTTTGTTTTATAACAAGTAAGTCTGCAGGAGGTATAAGGAGCAGGTTGACAGAAGTGACGGGTTCCTTTTTTTTGATGTTTGCAAGACAGCAGTGGAGTACCCAGTTTTGGGTTCCCTGGCACAAGGCAGACATTGGCAAATGGGACCAAGTCCAGTGAGGAACTGTGAAGATGGTTGAGAGGCTGGAGCATAGGATGAATGAGTGGTGGCTGAGGGAACTGGATTTGTTCATCCCTAAGAAGGCAAGGCCAGGTTGTGTCTTCTATTCAGATACCTCATGAAAGGGTATGGAAAAGGTTAAACCAGGTGAAACCAGTCTCAGAGACAACTGCACAAGTTGGAACACTGGAAATTCCAACTGTTAAAAGGAAAAAATTGTTTACCATGAACACGATCATGGATTAGAGAGGTTGTGGGATCTCTGTCTGGCCCCAAACAGCTCCTCTGATGGGACATGCTCTCAGTGGGAGGTTGCACTGAGTATCACTAGGGAAACCTGTCAACCGATGTGATTTATTGATTTTAAGCATTGTCTTACAGACCTTTTTCTGTGTTTTGTCCACTTATTCTACCTCTAGCATAGTAGATATTGGTTTGGTCATTTCAGTGGAAAAGATGGTTATTTGATATACAACAGTTATGTTTTAGTGCACCATGTAGTTTTATTGTTAAGATATCAGATGGACCTCCCTCTTTATGCTTTACATGTGGGATACCTGCCTAAAGAGCAGGCTGTGGACAAGCTGTTAGTGGACCTTAAGCCTGAATCAACCAAGGACTTTACCTCAGGAAAAGTACTGGCACTGATGTCAGCCTGCAAGAATGCTAACTGTGAGATAGCAGCAAAGAGAAACAGGTGGAGAAAAAGGGCAGAGAGAAAGTGCAGGGAGAAAAGGCAAGAAGATGTGCCTGGACAACTACGTATGAGCCAATCACAGGATAGCAAGTACTAAGTGCTGAAAAGTGTGTTTAACTATTTCCAACCAATCGTGTAAGAACATGTATGTGTAAGAAAAGTATATAATGGAAACTGTAACGCATAATAAACGGGATTCTGCCTCTCGATCATATTGGTCTGCGTGCAGTTTCTCTGTACCCTCTCGCAGTGACATTTACAGATTAACAAAAAGATGGGATTTTACTGTTCAATTACCACTGATTCATTTTTTGAATGTAGAATGATATTGCTTTCTCAAATGGAGATTTCATTGTCATAATCACATTGATAATAATTTAATTTTTTTAAGAAATTACATCACAGTTCTTTTTCATTGTTTCTGGATAATAAACATACCATGTTATTATAAGATCTGGGCCTATTACTGTCACTTTGTGTTTTTCACGCTTCTGTTTTCTGGTAGTTTGAAGTTAAAAATTTCCTTCACTCTGGTATGCTGCAAAGATAATCTATCTTGTAAGCTTGAGTAAAGTTTTAGCTGTCTTAAAAAGCTACCATTTTCTTAGTTGCAATTAAAACTTAATTATACTCTTTTATAGGATACTAGGATGTCACTTGTAACAATGGTGACTTAAAACCGAAGAAGAATCACTGGAAAAAAATACAAACAAATTTTTGTGACACTGATTTGGTGTTTGTGTAGTAAACACATCTTGTGGGGTTTTGTTGTTTTTTTTTTTCTTCTGAATCTTCAGTTCTATCTGTGTGCAATCCACTGGCACAAATGTTAGTGATACTGCACCTGATTGTGTTTCTAAGCTTTCTCCTTACACAGGAAAGCTAAAGATATTGTTACTCATTTGATAGTGTTATAAAGTTTGTATATTTTTCTCTTCTAACATGGACTTGAAAAAAGTTGGTTTATGGAAAAAAGGAATCTTAATGGTTTCCTGTTTCTGGTCAAATATCCTGTCATGTCTCTACAGAAATTACATTAAATGTTTTTATTCTGGATATCTTTAAAGGAAATCTCTTCACTAGCTAAAAAGTTGCTGTGGGCATGAGGAGGCTGAAGTCAGAGCAAGAAGATGGATTAAGAAGATTTAATTTCTGAAACCAGCAGACCTTTTATTTTTGCTCTCTGCTGGAGGCTGGCACCAGGTGCTCAGGGAACTCCAGAGCAGACTCACCTCTGTGTTACCGACTGACATAGGAAGCTGTCAGAATGGCACTTTGAAAATGTGAAGTAGTACAGAGTATTTAACTAATTGTCTTGGAACATTGAGGAAAGCAAGTATCTCCCTCAAGGAACTGGGACAGCTGCAGTAACTTCTCAGAAAATAAGTAACTGATGTCATATGGTGGAGTAATTTTTTTTAGACTCTTCTCAGGATTTACACTTGGAGACCTCCTCTAGAGCTTGCATTTGTGGTAAACTCCAAAAGCGAAGCAGTTTGAAACTGATGAAGTCTGAACTCATGAGTCACAGAATTTCATGTGTGTATTCTGTCAAGTGAGACTGCCCAGGATGAATCCTTTCTGTCAAGAATTTCAGGAGATGATGTGGTCCCCTTCTCAATAATGAAGTCTTCTGCAGCACATCAACTCGCATTTTGGGTCCTGGCTCTCTTCAGTATCAACCTTCTCTAGCATGAGATAGTAGCCTCTTCTGTTTGAGCAGAAATCAAATGAGGTCCAGGTTCATGTAGCGTACTGTTATCTTTGGTATTTTCATGGGAGTGCAGTTCAAGTAGGCTGCAGATGCTGCACTATGATGAGTGACCTGTATGATGTGACATTAGTGCTTTCGAATTTTTTTCTTCTGGGGCAGCTATAGCCTATTTGGGTTTATGGCTCTTTACTGCATCCATCCATTTTAGTATTTCAGCTGTTGGAGAAGTTACCAGCATGGATTTGTTGTCCAGAAACATCACAGAAGCACCAAATATTTAATCAATAGCAAGATTCTTTAGCAGTTTTCAGAGACTGGTATTCAGTTATAAAGAAAATAAGTGCAGCCATTCATGAGCAGATCTTGAGGTTATGATAAAACTCTATCTCTGCAGTGGTAGATACTAAATAAAAGTAATATCAAAGTGTAAGTTTCTGTGGTAAATTCTATTTCATTATGTGGTGACCTTTAACTGTGGTTCCAATAGGTTGGAACGTGTTGAAATTACTTCTGTTTTAGCTAACTTTATAACTACAAAATGGGCATAGAGGAGATATTAATCCCTTCCCTGTAGCACCTCTGTGCTCGTTGTGTATGTTCTTTTTGAGAATCTTGAGAGAAAAAAAATAAAGGGACACTCTCTAGTGACCAGTGACAGGATGTGAGGGAATGGCCTGAAGTTGTGTCAGGGGAGGTTTAGGTTGGATATTAGAAAAAGATTCTTCCCCCAGAGGGTGGTTGGGCACTGAAACAGGCTCCCCAGGGCAGTGGGCACATCCCCAAGCTTGTCTGAGTTCAAGAAGCGTTTGGACAATGCTATCAGGCACATGGTGGGATTGTTGGGGTCTCCTGTGCAGGGCCAGGAGTTGGACTTTGATGATTCTCATGCGTCCCTTCACACTCAGAATACTCTGTGATTCTGTGATAACTAGGAGATACTTTTTAAAAATATAGTTTACTTTTGTGAACTTTATTGGATGTTTTTGTTTTTCAGGCAACAGCAGAACAGATTCGCCTTGCTCAGATGATCTATGATAAGAATGATACAGATTTTGAAGATAAAGTGAAACAAGTATGTTTCTTATGGTACAGAGTTTTTATGCCCTGCAACAAAATTGACTTGTGTTTTGGAGCTAGAGCATCTGTTTCTGATTTAGATGAAACTTTCTTCATAAGGACAGAAGTTTAACTAGATAAAGGTGCTCTTATTGCACTGTGAAGTCTGTTTTCAAGAATTTGTGTGGCAATATAGCTATGACTATATAATTATACTGATGTATTTTCCTTTGGTGGTTTTTAATCCAAAACTCATCTGTGCTAATCTCTTCCAGACTGTATCTCTTTAGTATGGTCCTGATGGTTAATGATAGAATAGAGTGTGCATTCAGCTTGTCCACGTGTACATGCACATAGGAAAAATGTCACCTTTGTAAACTGAGTTTGCCAATATATTGTCTGTTTTTCAGGAAAAGTAAAAATCATAGAATCATAGCTTAAAGGTAAATTTAGGCATTATTTAAAAAAAGAAAAATCTGACCTCCCAGATGTGTGTATGCATTAAAATGATAAATCACACTGTGAAAATGAAATCTCACACCATTTCCTCTACCGTGATGAGTTTTCTGAGTGTCGATGCTCAAACTTCCTTTACCCAGTTATGGCTGAGACCATTAATTCAAGCAGTATTGAGAATCTGTGTCCCTGTTCTTCTGTGGATATCAGTGATTTTGTCCTAGTGAACACATCACCGCTCACAAGGAACTGAGGAGTACACCCAGAAGGAGAATTATCTTGAATGCATTCATGCAACAGACAAGCAAATGTCTTTCTTTAATTTTTCTTTGTAAAACCTCCTCTGAAGCGTTAAGTACTTTTTGTTGTTATAAACTTGTTTTGTTGATGTGCCAGAAGTGAAGTCCTGTACTTCCTGAAGCCAAATTACCCTCATCAATGGTGCCTGTAGCTGTGCTGGTGGGAAGGATAAGAATTAAGTTCTGCATAGGAAATCTTTAAGTATAATGTTAAAGGGAAAAAAAATGTGAAAGAGTGCTTTAATTTGTGTTTACCTTTATTTAGTATTTTATTTTACTCTGACACAGTAACTATGCACTTTTTTGGAATCTGTGGTGGTACTCTTATTTTCTTATGAAGATAATTTGGATATTTTAATATATCTGACTCTTACTGCCAGCTTATGGAAGTGACGGGGAAAACCCAGGATGAGTGCATAGTGGCACTACATGATTGTAATGAGGACATGAACAGAGCAATTAACATATTGCTGGAAGGAATTTCAGACACGGTAAGGTTTTACTTTCCTATTAAACCATTCTTTCTGTTTCTACTTCTTAGAAGTGATTGAGAAAGTCATATTTTGGAAACTTTCAATTTCCATGTCTCCAAATTCTTTTGAAGGAAATGGAGACCAGGACAGCTTTTCTACTTCATGAATACCTTAGAGTAGACTGAACCTTGAAAACATTGAGGATGTTTAGCTGGTTTCTTACAGAATCTTTTGGCTTTCATTTACATGCAACAATTTTAACTGCAGCAGAAATCATTGCTCTTTCAGACACAGACTTGTTTTTGATGCAATGTTTGTAGAATCTCACAACCATGAGACCTAAGTGTTTACCTCAAAAGACAATCTTTATAAACCTAAAGGGCAGGCAGATATTTAAAGTTGTGCAACTTCTGTAGGTGTGCATTGCCAGTATTGAAGTTGGAGGAGGTCTCCACATCTGAAAGTTGCATTGACAATGCTACTAATGGCAGAAGAGGATACAAGTATCCATTCACTGTTGCTCATTTGCATGACTTCATTGAAAACCAGAAAGAGGAGACTAAACAATGTGTATATACCAACAAATAATGTCCCTTTAGAATGTTGCACTGAGCAATTTTCTATCCCAAGAGGTACCAGGAAAATGTCTTTCTGCAGTTGAAGCTTTTGCTGGAGGGATTTCTTACAGTTTGTCCAAGACAGTACACTAGATTACATCTCATCTAAATTGGGAAAGAAACCTGGACTTCCTTTCTTAATGTTGAATATTCAGTAGTTCCTGTGATTTGTCAGAATGTGTAGTCTGTCTTATTGTTAATGAGGAAACCCACCCCCACACACCTTAAATCTAGAACACATAGTGTTCTGACTGAGGGGACTTTCTTTCCCTTTTCATTTATCAGAGGTGAGGTCATCTAAAACACAGAAATATATAATACTGAGCAAACTGGCAAGTTGAGAAGAGAAGGGAGCATCTCATCTTGATTAAATCTGTGTTGGTAATGTGATGGTTTTGTGTTCTCTTGTACTTCTTGTATTTGCCATTTTCTAGTTAAAATAGTTTCCTGATTGATAGAGAGTTTTAAATGCTTTCTTCAGCAAATTTTTTCTAAATGATCATGACAGGGAAGAAACTTTCTGAACTCCTCAATTAGAAGGAACATATCCATATGTTCTGCTCTTTTGACAAGTCCCTCTGAACTCACTGCACTCTGTAGATAAAATGCAACTCAAACAAATACAGAGAACTCGAAAGGCTCAAGAAGGAAGGAGTATTAATTAGAAGGGGTCCACGTCAGAACGTGAATAAATTTATTCTTCTTTATGCAAATTTGTGGGCCTTCAACTTGAAGGCCATTATACTCCAGAACATTTTAACTGTGGATTTGATGTAAGGTTGGAAGCAGAGGTGATACTAGTTCTGAATGCAGATTCCCAAATCTCTTTTTCTAATTTCACTCTGCTTTGATAGTCTAGAAGCTTTTTTTACCTCATTTGGAAGAAAATGTGTCTATCCAAATTAAGGAATTAAAAGAACAAGGAGTGGTAGCTATAATGTCTATTTATAATTTCTTTGGTACTCTACCAGTTTTGTTGTTTTTTTTATTTAATACTATGATCTTTAAGGCTTTATGCTGTGTGACTGTTAGTCTTTGTGAAGACTTGCAACAGTTGTGTCAGTCTGGCTTTGGATAGACAGAGGCTTGTGGATGAGAGTAGAGTAGGGCATGTTTCTTTGCCCAAGACTTCTATTCATTTAACTTCCTACAGGCATAAGATCCATTTTATGCCTGACCATGTGTTACTTCCTAAACCTTTCAAGATAGAACAAAGGGGACCTTTCAGATTATTCTTCTTTCCATCTAAGATCAGGCCAGCAAGAAGGCTTCTGTTATATATTTTTGAAGGTCAGGCCCACAGTTGTCATTTGGGTTGCCTCAGGCATCCTCAGCTGAAATTGTAATCAGTTAACTCCCTTACAAAAAGAGATGGCTTCAATAGTCTGTGATGGATTTCCATGCCCAAAGGTAGCACCATACTGTATCTCAAAGGACATGTCCAACTTTTTGAGGCTTTCCTCAAAATTATATTTTGGGAAAGCATGGATCCAATGCTTTCATAGACATCCTTTTACTGATCCTTCCCAAGTCATGTAAAACCTTACTAAGGAGAGGCTGCTTCCTCTTAAGCTTTGCAGACTCATCCAGTTTTGGGTATTTCTTAAAATGTTTGAAGATCTTTTGGCATCATGCCCATCAGTGAAATAGTAGTGCATTCTGAACTATATAACTTGGTTCTTCAGTTGTCAGTACAGGTATTTGTAGTGGTTTGACCTTGGCTGAACACCATGTATCCACTGGACCTGCGCCCACTTCCCTCCAAAGGGAAGGGGAGGAGGGAATGGGGAAAGAAGGGAAGGAAAAAAACCCTACAGAACCGAAAATGCCAAGAAAAATAGCTTCATATTTACATAGAGAGGAAAAGAGAAAATTATAAACAGTATACACAGAGAAGAATTAACAACAGAAACTACTTTCCCACAATGAACGCTCTCCTGCTCCGAAGAGACAGCCCGACTACACTGCACAGCTACCCGGAAGAGAAGGAAGGACTTGCTTCCTTCCTGTCTCTTTTATATCTAGGCTGACATAACATGGTATGGAATATCTTATTGGTAAAATATACATCAGGTGATCTATCCTGTTTCCCTCTAAGGGAGGGTAACAAACCCATTACAGTATTTTTTTTTCTCCTGTGAAATTTCTAAAAAAGTGTTTTAGTGCATAATACAGTTACATAGTTACTGGGGAAACAGTTTTCTGCTTCACAAATAAAGTGGTGTTGCTCAAATATATAGTTTTGTACTTCTAATCTGTGCTGTCTGCACTTCACTTTGACCCTGAGATTAGATCAGTTGGTTAGAGCATGGTGGTAATAATGCCAAGGTTGTGGGTTCAATCCCTGTATGGGCCATTCATTTAAGAGTTGGACTTGATGGTCCTTGTGAGTCCCTTCCAATTCAGGATATTCTGTGATTCTCTGAGATAGGACAGGACCTGAAAGTATTGATAGCCAATTTTTTTTGTTGGTTACAGGTGCCTGTCAGAGGTTATGGTTTTATGTAGTGCTTCATAGTTGATGCCACCTCATTTGTGTATGCAAATTTACCACTCAAATACCTTACCTAGACTATAAACTCCTAGACATGGGGACATATACATAAACCTATCTGCCATCTTAATGGTTTGCAAATAATACCTTTCTTCTTTCCTTTGCATCTAATGGCTCAATAGACTAACCACGCAGTTGCATAATATATGAGTTGTTGTGCTATTCTTGGAGAGTGTTTTAGTTGTTTTATTTTCAACTTCTATAGAGCTGATATGATCCCTGAATTTATTTTAAAGATGGAGTTTAATATTAAAGCTAAAGTTCCAGTCTTCCCAAGTTATTGTTTCGTCATTCTATCTCTTGGTACTTGAATTCTAGTACATCTGGATAATGGTTACCCCCCAACCATGTACTTACTCTCAGCAGTCTCTTGTTCAATGATGCTTGTAAGCATTTTTTCACTTCCTTTGGAGAAAAGGATAGATCTGTACATGCTCCCTTGCTAGATTTATGGAGGTAGTTGAGAGGGAAACTGTTGCTGGCTTTGCAGATTTTCTGTGTTGTGGTGGTATCTAGGCTTCCTTGAACTAGCAAAAGGCCATTATAGCCAGAAATATTTGGGATTCTCACATTCCATAAGAAAATCCAACTTTTAAAACTTGTTTTTTTCATCTCTTTCCAAAAATACAGCTTATGTTTCTATTTGTGTGAGTGTAGTTTGCAATTTTTACATATGTTATGTTATGCAAATATCTGGTTTTTTCCCATGAGCTGTAGGGGTGTGAGGTAGAAGTATGCATTGAGAGCTGTCTCTTCCTTTTTGATTTTTGTATCTACTTCTATCCAAATAGACTTCTTGGGAGACTGTAGGGGGAAAGAAGAAAAACCTTGGAAAGGAAGGTTTGGAAAACAAAGAGAACAGAGAGAAACGAGGGGACAGAGAAATGAGCCGCGGATGGGGAAGTTCCAACAGGCGGGGAAGAGGAGGCAGCCGTGGCCGAGAGTGTACGTACAGGGGCTCATTTTTAAACATTCAGAAACTTTTCTTGCAGCTGAAACTGGCTGAGTAAGGAGCAAATGCTTAATGGAGTAAAGTCTGTCCAAGCTATAGCTCAGCACTGAAAGGGATCATAACCTGTTTATGCAACAGGCATGCTCAATGTGTCAATGTGACTTGGTTTTGGGATGGTCTGTGTTTATTCAGAGACATTCAATTTAAATTTCTGTCCTTTTTTGATTGATCTTGTAGAAATTGCTGTTCTTTTTCTAAGTTTTATAATTGACTTTGTAAGACTGCTTGAAAAGCAAATATGTTGCTGCCCAGCTGATACACTTTTTTTTCTTTTAATGAAAAAATTATCCAGCTTTGATTTAATCTCCTTTTATGAGTGGGAGAACCTGAAGATGTTCTCATCTTTTTATAAGGGGAATGAAAAGACTGGGATCATTATTACTCTCTAGCATATGTTACTCATAAGCCAACCAAAGGTGAGTTTCTACAACACAGAAAGTTCTTTGTGGGTTGAAACATTAAAATTTTTTCTACAGCTTATACAGGTGCAATAATACATTGTACAAAAGCAAACTGATGTTTCCAAGGTAGGTAGCATCACATTAGATCACCATTGTTTGCACATTGCTTTTTTTTGATTAAGTTTTATCAACAGTATCAAAGCTACATACATTGTCTGTAAGGACCATACACAACACTGATAGATGAGCAGAGAAACTAGAATGAAAAAAAATGTGTTTAGCTTTTCACTTAAAAGCAGGAAAAATATTTACAATATTAGCCAATTCTTCTAATTAATTATTGGAATATCTTCAAGTATTGTGCCAGTGAAGACATTGTGAATCTTTGTAGAATAATGACAAAGATAGGAAAAAATAGTAATAAAACTTGCAACTATGCTTAGAAAAATTGAAATCAGATCCATCAAAATTAAACTGAGGGGCAAAATTTTTTCCAGAGCCAGATGCTACTTGTCTCTTTTTGTAAACTGGAATTAAAGATGTTTTCCAGGTAATTTCCAAATCTTGATATCTCTTCCCAGTCCAGGCATTAATGATTTTGTTGCTGCCATTAGGAAAAGTTGAGCAGTGCAAAATTTCACAAGTGTTTTAAGTGACCAGTCTTTTTTTTCCATCAAAGAGCCATCCATCTTTTGGAGTACTTCCTCAGGAGTTTTCCATTAAATAGTTAAGGTGCAGTACTTTTCTAATGCCTCATCTTCACTCTGTTGTTATCCCTCTAATTTAAATACAGAGGAGAGTTCTTTTGAGTTTCCCTGGTTGTACAGGGATGTGGTATTGGCAGACAGAAGAGTTGGTGTTCTTGGTTATTCTTTCACTGTTGCCACTCAGCCTGTTATTGAGGAAGCATAGTATGAGGCAGCCTTATTTCCTACCTCATTAAAGAGGTGAGGCCATAATTAATAGTGTAGGTTCCAAAACACTGCCTTTCTCCCCTCCAAAAACCCAACACAAATGAAGTGTGTCTACTGAGGGGCATTTCCCTCTTTTTAGATATTTTACTTCCTGTAAAGGTTAAATGCATGCAGGTACCCCCAAAATACCAGGCAGTGGAAGGATTTAGGAGAATTTATTTCCAAAGTCGAGAACACTTAACATCTCGGTACAAAACTGCACTGGACCTAAGACACACCCCTTGTTCTTCTTGGGCTTTTATTGTTCCCAGCATCCCCTGCCATGGGGTCTTCAGACATGTCTGCAAGAACTCATTTTCTCTCGTACCCAAGGAGTCAACTCCTCTGGAATATGGGAGGAGAAATCATCTAAAACTATCTCTAGGTGTCTCAGTTTAATGAGACACAAGCGTTTTGCTGAGGATGAGTTATGAGGAAGACCCAAACTCCTCCCTCTAAGCACTTGTAAATACGAAATTAAGAGGCTCCATTTGAGAAAGTGTGGAAGATGGAAAAAATAACAACCCTTTTTTAAAGGATATATATGTATTGGCAGAACAACGAAAGAACACAAATAAAACAATCAAACAATAATCCTATACCCAAAAATAATCCCCTTCAAAAACAAACAAACAAACAAAGGTAAACAGTTCAGTTGTGCCCTTTGGTGCAATTCTAACCACAGTCAGCAGGGGGAACTGTTGGATCACTGGAGATGCAGATCCTACAGTGCTCTGTGCTGGCCAGCAGGGAGCGCTGTTGGAGCCCCCGGGTGTGCTGGAGAAGCTGAAAATGGAGATCTTCCCTCCTCCTCACTGGGAAAGGGGAAAAAGGAGGGAAAGAAAAAAAAGTTCTTCCCAACAGGAACTCACTCTTTCTCCAGATGGACCATGTGGTTTCCCCTTTCCTTTGATGGGAACGGAGGAGGGTAAGAAGGTGACCTCCCTCCCGAACAGTTCCTCTCTGATGAAAATCCAAGCAGGTTCTGGACTGGGTAGAAAAAACAAGTCGCAGGCGAACCAGGGCCAGGAGAGGAAAAAAAAACCAAAACAAAACCTACCGGGCAACCAGGCTGAGAACAAAGCCACCTCCAAGCTCCTGCCACCCAGACCTTGTCCCAACTCAGGCAACAAGAAGTTCCTGCCGTTTCCCAGGAGAGGAGAAAAAAAGTAAAGACAACTCCTCACCCCTCCCCACAGACTCTTGAGGGCCATCAACTTGGGATGTGACTCTGCTAACCAGTTCTTTTGTGTTAGTCCATTGCCCAAGGCACAGCCAACTTGCCCATTCAACATCCCTTTCACACAGTGGGCAGGGGGAAGGGAAAATTGCTGCTTAGTTTCCCAGAACAAGCAAAACCATGACACTGGGAAAGATGCCTCTTTCCAGGCAGGGAAAGCTTTCTTAAGCGAAATAAACCATCTCCTCGTAATAACTCTTCCAGAAGGGTCTTCTACACTTACACTTCCTAATTGTCTAGGGCAAAGTAAACATAACTTGCTTGTAGCTGGGCTCCAAAGAAGACGGGTGACTGAGATGTATTAACCAACCTACTTTAAAATCTTGCCTTTTCTTTTGAGGTTCAGGTTAAGCAGATGGCTATACTGTCTCATGTATGAGTCTCTTAAGCTGTCCTCTCTCCACAGTTAGAGCTGAAGAGAATGGAGTGGGCAACAATCAAGGAGATAGACCTTCAGACCGTGGGAAACTTGGCCATGTGAGAGGTGAGATGGTAGCATTGGTGCAGGACTAGCACCAATGATTTCATATCCTGAAATGGAACTCTCCTATTTATTTCTTTAAACGCTTCTTTTTAAGCATTTGTTGGTTATCCTTTGATTCCATAAGCATTTCAGCCACCTTTAATTTAGATACATTCCTCTCCCTTACCCCTTTTCATGTTTTGGTCTCAGAACAACTTAAAAGAATTGACACAGATCATTTTTATGGTAATTTCCTGTGTAGCAGGCTGGTGTGCTCTGGCTATGGAGAGCTGTTTTCCCAGATCAACTCATTCCAACCTCCTGAGAGTAGGAGTGTGCTGGGCTCTGCAGGATATACCTTGACTGCAGGAGAGTATAAGATTCCATCTGTAGAACTCTCAAGAAATGATTTGATGTGTACTTGTACTGTTCCTTTGGGGTGAATCTGGTTGTCAGGCTTACCTTCTGTTTTCGGTAACCAATCAAAGTACAAGCCCCCTTAGAGGCTTTTTGGTGACAGAAGGAATTTGGTATAGAGGATTTGATGAGAAGAACTGTGGAGAAAGAATACTACAGAGTCTTAGGTACAACTCTGATCCTATCCTATAGAAGAGGTAGGAAAGGTGTTGATAATGAATTTGATGTAGAATCAAGGGATGTGTAGTTGGTTTGGATTTTCATGAGTTGGAGGCTTGTTTCTTCTTAGAGTAAGAGTAACAGGTACAGTGCAGATTGTGTGGGGAAGTGGGTATTAAATGAGTTAAATTGATAAAGCGCATAACAGAACTAATGTACTTAAGCAATGTCTGATTGGTGAAAAACTCTGCCTTCAAAGGGCTCTCTTCTTTGGAATATCCAGCAATGAAGCATTCAAAGACAGGCACATACAACTCCATTGATCCAGATCTGCATCTTGAAGGAGTGGAAAGATGCAAAGACATGTAGCTTCCAAAGGGTTACAAGAATGACTCGGTTGTGTCTGTGAATCAACAAATGCCAAATGGCATGTGCAGAGAAGTAGCCTTGTGGGGAGGTTGTGGTACAGTTCACAGCTACAATTTTTTGGTATGTTAGCACTGTTGATGGAATGTAAATATTTCAGTTATTTGTTTTATTAAATAATACTTTATACGGAAATTATAAAGGTAGGACTTCTTAAAATTGCTGGGCGAAAGTTATAGGTTAATTTCAAATGCAGTCTGTTTTTTTGCTTTTTAACCTTATGAACAATACACTGTTGCTCTCTAGATGAATATCATATGTCTTAAGCCAAAACACTGACCTATCTGACTGAAGAATCACAGAATACTCTGAGTTGGAAGGGATCCACCAAGGATCGAGTCCAACTCTTAAATGAATGGCCCATAGGGGGATCAAACCCACAACCTTGGTGTTATTAGCACCATGTGCGTAATATTACTATATCTCTCTACCAAGTATTTTAGACCATACATTAATGTGAGAAAAGTATCTTAATGAAGTGTTTTCAACTGTCTGTGATAAACTGGTTGAATTCAGTATCCCTATATTACAAGTGTGTTTATTCTGTGGCAGGAAATATCTAATTACATTTTATAATGCAAACCTGTCCAGTTTTTTGACCAGGACAGAGTTAACTTTTTGCAGTAACTGTGAGAGGGTGGAGCCTAGAGGTGTGTGGGTGTGGCTAGGAGGTTATTCTATACCACCTATACACTGGGGGGGTGGGTGCTGAAGTAAGGGACTCTAGCTTCTGGGAAGGAGGGGGCGAAAAAGGTGATGGAGGGTCCCCCCTGCCATTTTGTTCATTGCAGGTGTCACAATGTGCCAAGTCATTCAGTGAGCATTTTTTTTGCATGTAAATCACTCTCTTTTTAGACACTTTTGTTATTAATAATGTTACTGTTACTGTTGATTTTCTTATCTCATTGCTGTTTCCAGTACATTGTTTTATCTCAACCAGTAATCTCTGCCTTTTGTACCTCCCACCAGAGGGAGGAGAGCAAGTGGGGGGGAGGGGGCACTAAATTAGGGACTGCCACTCCTAAACCATGACAAAACCCTTGAAATCTGCAGGGAGTTGTATAAAGTTGTGTAATTTACTTTTCAGTATTTCAGGGATGCATGACCTTCTTTCTTTGGATATTAGTAAAAATAATAATAAAAATCTTCCTGTTATTTTATCTGGTAGCCTTTCTTTTCTGTTACATAGAATAGTCAAATGTGGAATAAAGTACTTCAGCTTCAAGTAAATAGATGGCTAGTAATCACTACAGAACCCTTTTCCCAAAATTTTTAATGAAGTGTGCAAAGTAATCTAGGGGTCAGCTAATATTTGTGGAACACACTATCTTGCTCTATTTTAAGCAAACTGCTCAGACTGTAGTTATCTTACTGACTGCTTTCTAGGGGAATATTTGCTGGGCCATTGTGTTACTGCTTCACTGTAGAACAATATAATTTTAAGAAATTATATGCACTGAAAATAGCAGAAATGGGATTGACACTGTGGTGAAAATATGATGTTGACTGAGGGGGAAAACCCCTGATAATGAGTATTTCAGTCTTGGTGCTGTAGGCAATAGCATGTTAAGGAGACTGGTTGATGGAGTCCCTTGGGAGGCAGTCCTGAAGGGCAAAGGGACCCAGGAAGGTTGGACGTTGTTCAAGAAGGAAATCCTAAAGGTGCAGGAACAGACTGTCCCCATGTGCTGAAAGACGAACCAGCAGGGAAGACCACAGGCCTGACTGAACAAAGAACTTTGGCTGGAACTCAGGAGAAAAGGGTGTATTAGCTTTGGAAGAAGGGGCAGGCAACTTGGAGGACTACAAGGATGTTGGAAGGAAATTAGAAGGGCCAAAGCCCAGCTAGAACTTAATCTGGCTACTGCCATAAAGACAATAAAAGTTTCTATAAATATATCAGCAGCAAAAGGAGGGCCAAGGAGAATATCCTTAATTGGGCATGTGGGGAAACATAGTGACAAAGGATGAGGAAAAAACTGAGGTACTTAATGCCGCCTTTGCCTCAGTCTTTATTAACAAGACCAGTTGTTCTCAGGGCACCCAGCCCCCTGAGCTGGAAGACAGGGACAGGAAGCAGAATGAAGCCCACATAATCCAAGGTCAAATGGTCAGCAACCTGCTACACCACTTAGACACACACAAGTCCATGGGGCTGGATGGGATCCACCCAAGGGTACTGAGGGAGCTGACAGAAGTGCTCACCAAGTCACTTTCAATCATTTATCAGCAGTCCTGGCTAACCACCTACAAGAAGGGTCAGATGAACTATCTGGGGAACTCCAGGCCTGTTAGCCTGACCTTGGTACTGGGGAAGGTCACTGAGCAGATCATATTGAGTGCCATCATGTGGCACGTACAGGACAACCAGGTGATCAGACCCAGCCAGCATGGGGCTATGAAAGGCCTGCTTGACCAACCTGATCTCCTATGACAGGGCGATCCACCTAGTGGATGAGAGAAAGCCTGTGGATGTTGTCTACTTAGACTAAAATAAAACCTTTAACACTGTCTCCCACAACATTCTCCTGGAGAAACGGGCTACTCATGGCTTAGATGGGTACACTGTTGGCTGGGTAGAAAACTGACTGAATGGTCAGGCCTAGAGAGTGTTGGTGAATGGAGTTAAATCCCATTGGTGGCCGGTCACTAGTGATGTTCCCCGGGGTTAAGTATAGGGGCCAGTTCTGTTTATCAGTAATCTGGTTGAGAGGATCGAGTGCACCCTCAGTAAATTTGCAGTTGACACCAAGTTGGGCTGGAGCGTTCATTGCTGGAGGGCAGGAAGGCTCTGCAGAAGGATCTGGACAGGCTGGATCAGTGGGCTGAGGACAATTGTACGAGGTTCAACAAGGCAAAGTGCTGGGTCCTGCATTTTGATCACAACAATCCCATGCAGTGCAACAGGCTGGAGGCAGAGTTGCTGGAAAGCTGCCCGGCAGAAAAGGACCTCGGGGTGCTGGTCAACAACTGGTTGGACATGAGCCAGCGTGTGTCCTGGTGGCCAAGAAGGCCAACGGCATCCTGGCTTGCATCAGAAATACTGTGACCAACAGGACCAGGGCAGTGACCATCCCCATGTACTCAGCACTGGGGTCAGTTCTGGGCCCCTCACTACAAGAAAGTAGAAGTTTTCAAAAGGCATGTGGATGTGGCACTTGGGGAAATGGTATAGTGGTGCTAGGTCAATGGTTGGACTTGATCTTGGAGGTCTTTTCCAACCTTAGTGATTCTATGATTCTAAAAATGGTTGGTAGAGTACATGCAGTATATTGTGAAACTGATTCAATGCTTTTAGCTTTATGATAACCAATAAGACAAAATGATTGTAATATATCATATATATATGATGTCAATATAATATATTGAATATAACTTCAGTGTTTGTTTTGGTAATACGGAATACCTAGAATGCAAATTTTCTATACTTAGCCTCCTTATTTCTTCGTAAGGCTTAAACCTCTGTCACCTTGACATCTGCTGGGTGGATGGCTGGCTCTGCATTTCCATAGCAGAGACCAGGACTTTTTGATTACTGTCTAGTCAGACATAAGCGCAAATCTAAGGTGTTGCCTGCCCGTCCAGTCTGCATTTCCTTTTCCTTTGAGCTGTTGTTAAGCCTCTTTCTTAGCCTTAAAGTGTCTTCATTTAATTTAAACCTGTCAATGTGAAAATCTGAATTTCAAAATAAAACAACTGTTGCAGTGAAAGGATTTAGGTCTGCAAGCTCAGCAAACTGGATTTTCTACAGAATAGATTAAGTTAATCAACTAGTCCCATCTGAGTTGTGATACTACACACCTTTCTCATGCTTCCCACATCTGTTTTGTGGGAAGAAATGTTGTGAAGGAGATTGTCGTGGTTTTGCCCTGGCTCAATTTACTTTTACACTCCCCATACAATTACTATCAGTTGAGAGAAGGTTTATGCAGACAAAAAGAGACTGAATTGAAAAAAAAAGTATGAGTATTTATTATTAACAAGCCAAAACTAAAGAATTATATCTACAACAATTCTACTTAAGTAAAAGGTATTATGTATTTACAGAAGATACTTCTCCCCCCACCTCCCTTTATATCAGTCTAAGGAGGAGAAGCAGTCCTTTTCCATTCTCGGAGTTCCAGTTCTCTTTTTCTCTTCAGTAACTTTGCAGCACTCTCATCGCAACTGGAATTCTTTTATCTCTCTCTCATTCTGTGTTGGCCTCCAGGGCTCGGTCTATCCCCCTCCTGGGCTAAAACCGAAGGTTGGGGGTTACTCAGGTCCTGAAGGGTTTCCTTCCATAGGCTTGCAAGGGGACACTTGCTTACTATGGATCTTCTTCCACAGGGTTACAGGGGATAATGGTTTAAGAGTTCACCCCTGTTTCCCTATGGAGGTCCCTCCCCATGGGAGAACAGTCCTTGATTGACTTCTCGGCATGGGTCTAGTCTGGATCCCTTACTCGGATCCCAATATCCCACCTGAGCCGTCTTCTGCTCCAGCATAGGTCCTTATCCCCCTCAGGGTCATAAATCTTCAACAGCAGCAGCATGGATCTCTCACTGAGATCCCAAGCTTATCCGAACCGTCCCGCTCCGGCATAAGCATCATCCCCTTCGAGGGTCACAAAGTCTTCAACAGGACTCTGCCTCATCCGAGCTGCTTCTGCTCCAGCATAAGGCTTTTTCTCTTTCTGTCAAAGTCACAAATCTCTGGTACATCCACAAGCTCCTCTGTGAGCCACATGGGGGGTCTCCTCACCCCAACAAACTTTTACAAGTGGCAGGGTTTTATTTTTCAGTTTTTACCCTGCTGAAGGGAGGGAGAGTGAAAGGGAGAAAAAAGCAGCTCTCCCCCCTTCGAACTTTTCTTCTCTCTCCTGAGACTGCCAGCTTTGACCTTGGAAGTCCTGTTATCTCATGGCTGGAATTCTTCTGTAGTAGTTTCTCGTCTAAACAGTTCATCTTTTAAACTTTTTTTTTCTTCACTCTTTTACAGAAGAGAAGGGAGGCTTCAGTACTACACCTGCCCCCCCCGGCCCAAGCCGGGGAGGAGGGGGCCTTGGCCCTCCTCAGGCCCACTACTCTTCTACATGGCTGCTGCTCCTAATTTCAACTGCGCAACCAACCTTCTCTTCCGTTTTCTTAAAGATGTAATTAGCAAAGGCGTCACTGAACTTTTTGATTGTTTTTTTTGTCCAGAAATCACTTGGACAAAACCATCCTCAGCCCCAGGGATGGGTTGGTGGGCAAAACCCCTAACAATACACAGTTGATCAGAGTTACAGTGTTAAAGGAAACAAAACCATATTTTAGTAGTTAATTGTTTAAAATTATGTTCGATAGGGGTAATAGCTGCAGGAATTATGATTGGAATCAACTGTAAACATAGTTGCCCAGTCCTGGGTTCCTGGAACAGAAATGAATAAGCAATTCTGCCTTGATATCTTAGGCAGCTGTTTGTAGATCCAAGTGTAAAAGAATGTGAAGAAATGTTAAGAGGTTTTATATGAGACAGGACAGTAATTTTGTTATTTGCTTCGTCTTCTCTCCAGATTGTGAAAAGAGAGTAAAGAGGGGGAAATGGGCTGGTGTCAGACTTTATTCTTCTGTGTTCTTGTTGTTTTGTGTTGCTAGATGGGAATCCTTCCTCTACAGGTTTCCATGGTTGTCATTCTGTATAAAATATGGGTAAACTCTTTCATCAAAATGTGGATAAAGCTATCCTGCTAATTTGATGTTTCTAAGAAGTCCTTGAAAATGTAGGTAGTAAATATTTGTTTTGGGTATTTGTGGCAAGGTTTTGGTAGCGGGGTGGGAGGTCTAGAGGGGTGGCTTCTCTGAGAAACTACCCCATGTCCAACAGAGCCAATGCCAGCTGGCTCCAAGACAGACCTGCCAGTGACCAAGGCTGAGACAATCGGCAACAGTAGTAATGCTTCTGTGAACATATTTAAGAACAGGAAAAAAAAAATTGCACAGAAGCAATTGCATCCAGAGAAGAGAGAAGAATATGTGAAAGAAACAGCTCTGCGCACACCAAGGTCAGTGGTGAAGGGTGGGGAGGAGGTGCTCCAGGAGCCAGAGCTGAGATTCCCCTACAACCTATGGTGCAGCCCATGGTGGGGCAGCTGTGCCCCTGCAGCCCGTGTAGGTCCATGAGGGAGCAGAGACCCCCCTGCAGCCTGTAGAAGAGCCTCACACTGGAGCAGGGGGATGCCTGAAAGAGGCTGTGACCCCATGGGATGTCTGCACTGGAGTAGGCTCCTGGCTGGACCTGTGGCCCCGTGGACAGAGGAGCCCATGCTGGAGCAGGTTTGCTGGCAGGACTTGTGACCCCACGGGGGACCCAGGCTGGAGCAACCTGTTCCTGAAGGGCTGACCTCGTGGAAGGGAGCCACACTGGAACAGTTTGTGAAGAAATGTAGCCTGTGGGAAGGACTTGCATTGGAAAAGTTTGTGAAGGAGTCTCCTATGGGAGGGACCGTATACAGGAGAAGGGAAAGGACTCCTCTCCCTGAAGAGGAAACAGTGACAGAAACAACATGCCATGAACTGTCCGTAACCTCCATTCCTTGTCTCACTGCACCGTTGGAGGGGAGGGGATAGAGAATCATGAATAAAGTTAAGCCTGGAAAGGAGAGGGGAGTTGGGGGGAAGGTGTTTTTAAGATTTGTTTTACTTCTCATTATCCTACTCTGATTTTGATTAGTAATAAATTTAATTAATTGCCCCAAGTCAGGTTTGTTGAACCTGTGACGATAATTGGTGAGTGATCTCTCCCTTGATCATTTGTGGAGGGGAGTGATAGAGCAGCTTTACCGGGCACCTGGCATCCAATCAAGGTCAAACCACCAAAATATTTTAGAGGTCCAGAAATGTCTTTGAAAAACATGGACAGCGAACTAGGGAAAGGAGAAGAATGAGTGGTGAGGGGAGGAAAAGGAAAGTCATTAAAATAGGAACTTTCTAAACTGGATTTACTATGTCTTGGAACTACTGTTTATTTCGTTTAGATGGTCCCCTGAAAATAAGGGGTAATTTTGATCCAAATTTGAAGCCTATCATGGGTAATTCTGATGTTTGGACAACCAGTGTATCAGTGACTTAGGATTATAACTTTTGTACTCTGGTAAACTTGTAGTTGTTCAGTGACTTTTTATAACCACATAATTTTGTCATTAAAATAAACATCATTTTCTTCTCAGTCAGCAGCTCTTAACCTCTTCCTGTTCTTGTAATACCAAATAATATACATAGTCTTCCTCAAAAAAACCTAACAAACAAAACCTCAGATATTGAGGTTATAAAAAAGAAGAAAATTCCACCAGAACTATGTAGAAATATGCCACATGTAAGAAATAGTTTATAACAGTTTACATAGACGTGCTTTATGCATGGTTAAGTAAAAAAAAATTTTCATTCCTTCTTAGCACTATGCAACATACCATTCACTATATTAAGAAACTTGTTGTGAGGAAAGATTACATGCAGGCACCCCAGATACCAGGCAGCGGTGGATTTAGGAAAATTTATTTCTGAAAACTGAGAACAGTGACATGATGGTGCAAGCACTGGGCATCCAAAACGCACATGCTGTTCTCCTCAGGGCCTTTTATTATTCACCTGGGCCTCCCACTGCAGGGGCCTTCAAGCATGTCTGCAAGAAACTTATCTCCTCTTGTACCAGGGAGTCAGCCTCTCTGAAAAGCAGAAGAAAACACATAAGACTATCCCTGGGAAGATGCCTCTTTCCCAGGCAGCAAAGCTTCCTTGAGTGACATAAACCCTTGTCTCCTCTAGTAAATCTTCCTGAAAGATTCTTCTATACTTACACTTATAAACTGAGATCAGTAACCAAAATTGGAGGTAACAAATATTTGTTGTTGTTAAAATAGAAATTAATATTCTTATGGGTGATAACAAGGAAGTTTGACTAATTTGAATTGGATAATTTTCATGTCAGTAGTTATGCTTAAGGGGGAATCAGAAGGAATGTGTGGTCACAGATTATTGTAAGCACAGGAGGGTAGGGGTGGACTGAGTCAGAGAAGGAAGTAAATAGAATATTTAAACTTTCTCCTTAGATAAGAAGTGAAAGGGTATTTCTTGAGAGACCAAAGTATGCAGGAAGACTGGGATTCTAAAGAATCTTAGACAAGAGTAAAAAATTGGACAAAATTTTGAATAGTGTCTAATGATTTAGCAATAGCAGTCTAGTGGGATGATTCTTTAGGTGAGTCCTTTTCTTGGCATTTGGAGCTACTTCACTAGATACAGAAAAGATAGCCAAGAATTGTATGTCCTGCTGAATCACAGTCTTAGATGAACTGTGGTTTACTGTGGCTGTCTAAAAAACAAAACTAACACGATCCCAGTATGGGGTAAAACTGGAATGCTTTATTGGACAGAAAACACATTTTTAAGGGCCTCGGGGGCTGGACATGTTAATGGAAGGATGGGTTATGATAATTAAGAAGTTACACAAGTTTTTACTAGTTTCCAAATAGGTTAATTTTTCTTCAAGCAGGATCAAAGGAATTAAGGGGTTTTAGACATAAATAACATAATCTCAAGAAGTCCTTTCTTGATTCTACTGGAACCAGCTTAATCTATAAGGTTGTACTTTGACAGATCTCGTAACAGGGGTCCAGCTTCTTAGATCACGGGATGTTTGTCAGCCTCTGTTTTCCAAGGTTTGCCACTCAAACCCTGCAAGTTTGTTTCTGCTGACAACTTGGTTTGGACCTCTACAGCTTACTTGCATGTGTTAGGGAAATTTGGGAAGTAAAGGGTATTTAACTACAGTACTTTTTTTTCATCAACCATAATATTTTCTAATGTGACAGACTAGCAATTGGTGTCTCCTCTGCTGTTGCTGTTATATGGTGTTTTCTCTCCTAGGGTTTGGACGTGGCAGAGGGAGAGGAGCAGGGAGGTTTTCAGCCCAAGGCATGGGGTAAGAAACATGCAGAGCACAGATTTTGGCAAGGATCAAACTCACTGGCAATATTAATTGACAATATTGACACTATATGTCTTAATATTGCTGTATGATTAACCTATATAGATGCAAAAATTAAAAAAAAATTCTTAGATTACTAATGGATTTTTTTGTCTTAATACAGTATTTCTAACTAGACACACCTATACAAACCTAATGTAAATTCATGTTAATATCTCAGACTTGGAGAACCCATTTTTACCTATCAGTAGCAACCATCAGTAGTGCCTTGGAGGCTGAAAGCTCTGTGTGGTGCATATAGTTCTAAGTCACTAAAAAAAAGATTTGTTTCAGTGCAATGTAGAACTTTCAAGTTCTATATAAAACCAGGAAGACTAGTGATTCTAAACTTTCTCCTGTTTTTGAGGTTTCGTGCTTTAACTGTTTGGACATACATCGACCCTAAAACAAAATCAAAAGAAGTTACTCAGCAACCTCAAAGTTTGTTCCAAGTTTTGTTGGAATAACTTGCTTCATGAAGTGTAACCTTGACTACTTTTACTTGGTGTTTGACTTTAATGACATTTCATGTAACATCAGTGATGTCATGATGAACAGAAGACTCATTCTACTTTTCTAATAATTCTTCTTCATACTTGTAGATGATAAACTGAAAAGAGGTTTTTCTTCAATAATTCTGTTTCACCTTTTAGCTGCATCTGTGTGTTTTGGCATTGGTGTGAGGAGTGCATTCTGAAATAGTCTTACTGATTTTCCGACTCCTGTCCTGCACAGGTCTGGTGCTCTGAAATGACATGATACTGGTTTCTCATCAGTAAGCCACCTGCTGAGAAACTGTCAGCTGAGAGAGGCTTATCATTGTGCATATAAACTAATCCTTTATAAGACTGGAGGAGTAGGTATGCTGTTCACTGCTTTTTCAGGAATTGTTGGTTTGGTTCAGTTTCTCTACAGTAACTTTTTTTCAGTCTCTTCATTTTTTTTTCCTTTCATCCCTCTTTTATCTGCTCATAGAGGAAAAATTTCTTTTGAAACCAAAACTATAAAGATTACGTGGAAATCAAGAAGTTTAATCAAATGCAACTTCAGATAAAAATGATGACACTTGTGTTCATTGAATGACCCATGTGTTCTCTTCCATTTTTAAACTTTTAAAACTCTAGGACATTTAACCCTGCAGACTATATGGACTCTTCTGCCACTGATGGCTTTGGGACAAAATCAGATATTTGGGAGACTGGTCAGAATGATGCAGATGATGGAACTGGTAAGATGCTTCAAGAAGTGGAAGGATTGAAATGAAGACCTGTAGTAAAATTGCAGTTAAAATAACCATTCTGTTAGTGTTCAGTTAACTTCTGAAAATGTGAATGCATTTCACGTGACACAGATATTAGATCATTTTTATAGCTTAATTGCTACTAATGTGCAGAGCACATGCTGTAACCTGTGTGACTCTTATTAAAATGAAGGGATGGCAATTTTCAACTTTTTTGTTATAGTACCAACAAACCCTTGAGAGACAAAGGCATTTGAAGAGTTGTTGGATGAGCCTTGTATGTGAAGAACTGTGTTAAAGGAGAAGCCACTGCCAGAGTATTCTCACACCATTTAAGGAATCACACACACACACCACCTGAGAATTTAACTGCTTAGACCAGAGTCCCTTTGCAGTGGGTGGCTCCAGTGAGCTGATGAGTTCCCCTTTTGACTCCTTGCTCACACACACACTTGCTCTTAGGCACACTTCCTCCTCCTTCAGACTTGACCCTAGGTTTCCCACAGAAGAGTCTCAGATGTCTGATTTTATAAAAATAAATAATTTAGGAGTGGTACAGCAGCAGGTCAACTTGACCTGGGTGCTTCTGGAGAGGGACCCCAAACAAAGAAATCCCTGGGCTTTTTATGCCCTCACAATCTATGCAGCCATTCTTCACACACCTTGCATGCACCTCTTGGTCCAATGGTGATTTTTGGTCTGGGATCTTCTAACCTCTTACTGGATTCTTTCTCTGTGTCCATGCAGACAGACCATTAACTGTTCTTATCTTGTCAAGTTGCAGCTTCTGCTGATGACTGTAACCTCCTTATCTTCTGGTTTATACTTCTTGTGCACTAGCTCAGTCGACAGAGCATGGGAAACTGAAAAGTTTTGGATTTAGAGTAAGCATTATGTAGCAATAACTAAAACATCACTGTGTTATCAACACTATTCTTGTACTAAAACCAAAACACGGCACTGTAACAGCTACTAAGAAGAAAATTAACTATTCCATTTGAAATCATATCTAGGTGAAAGTGAATTTTTTTGCATGTCACATTAACATATATTCTATTTACTTGAAATCCAGTGTCCAATCATACACAATAACTAGAATTAAATGTTAAACAACAGTAGCATTGGGACAATGAACTTTCATCTTGCTGAGGATCTTAAACTCTATCAAAGTTAGATTTTGAGGTGTATCTGATTTGCAAAAAAAAAAAAATAGCTTTCATTGGGTTTTCCAAGGGTTTGGTCAACCATTAGATAAAAATCTATGTCAAGTAACTCCCCTTTAGTCTTGTTAACTTTATACCACAATGGGTCATCCATTGATTTTATACTTAGCCATGTAGTTGTGGTCCTCTGGGTTAACAGCACCAAGAGTAATGGGATGTCTCACTTCATCTCTTTGGTGTATAGATTCTTTACAAAGTAGTATTTGTTAGCTGGTTGGTTATTCATAACTTGTTTGACATGAGAATGGTATATCCAGTTTTCCTTTCCTGAAATTTTAACAGCAAAATTAGAACACAATAAGGCAGTATATGGCCTCTCCCATTTGGATACTAATTTGGATTTTTGTGAAAATACCTTAATTAACATTTCCATCTCCGGGTTATATATATGGTACCTGCATTTCAGGTGGTGTGGACTGACACGATTCCTTTTTTTCTTCAACCCCCTTTTCCATATATGTTAGACACTCTGCCTAGTACTTCAGAACTTTTGACAAAATGAAAATGTCACTGACCAGTTGGAGTGCATCGAGCTCCGCCTAGGAATGGATGAAGAGATGATGGAGAGTTTATGGGTCAGGATTAAAGGGAGAGGATGGACAGGTGCCATTATAGTGGGGGTCTGCTACAGGCTGCCCAACCAAGAAGACCAAGCCGATGAGGCCCTTTACAGACAGATAGGAGCAGCCTCACATTCACAAGCTCTGGTCCTCATGAAGGGAGGATGACTTCAACCACCCCAATATCTGCTGGAGGGGGACACCACAGAAGGGCATAAGCAATACAGGAATTTACTGGAATGCACTGATGACAACTTCCTTCTCCAAGTGATAGAGGAGCCAATGAGGAGAGGTGCTATGCTGGACCTTGTTCTCACCAACAAGGAGGGGTTGGTGGGGAATGTGAAATTCAAGAGCAGCCTGGGCTGCAGTGACCATGGAATGGTGGAGTTCAAGATCCTTAGGGCAGTGAGGTGGGTGCACAGCAAGTTCACTACCCTGGACTTCAGGAGATCAGACTTTGGCCTCTTCAGGGATCTACTTGGTAGTGTCATAGGATAAAGCCCTGGAAGGAAGAGGGGCCTAAGAGAGCTGTTTGATGTTCAAGGATTGTCTCTTCCAAGTTCAGGAGCAATGCATCCCTACAGAGAGGAAGTCCGGCAAAAATACCAGGAGGCCTGCGTGGATGAACAAGGAGTTCCTGGACAAACATAAACACCAAAGAGAAGGCTACAGAGAATGGAAGTAGAGACAGGTAGCTTGGGAGGAATATAGAGAGATTGTCCAAGCAGCCAAGGATCAGGTTAGGAAAGCTAAAGTTTTGATACAACTAAACCTGCCAGGGATGTCAAGGGGAACAAGAAAAGCTTCTATAGGTAAGTTGGGGATAAAAGGAATGCTAGGGAAAATGTGGTCCCTCTCTAGAAGGAAAGGGGAAACCTGGTTATCCGGTACATGGAGAAGGCTCAACGACTTTTTTGCTTCAGTCTTCACCAGCAAGTGTTCCAGCCACACCGACCAAGTTGCAGAAGGCAAAGGTAGGGACTGGAAAAATGAGGAACTGCCTGCTCGAGAAGATCAGGTTGGAGACCATTTAAGGAACCTGTAGGTGCACAAGTTTATGTGCACTGGAAAAGGGGAAATATAACTCCCATTTTTAAAAGGGGAAATAAGGAAGATCCGGGAACCTACAGACCGGTCAGTCTCACCTCTGTTCCTGGCAAGACCATGGAGCAGATCCTCCTGGAAACTATGCTAAGGCACAAGGAAAATAAAGAGGTGATGGGTGACAGCCAACATGGTTTCGCTAAGGGCAAATCATGCCTGACAAATTTGGTTGACAGGATTTACAGATGTGGTGGATGAGGAAAGAGCGACTGACGTCACACACCTGGACTCGTGCAAAGCATTTGACAGTCCGACATGACATCCTTGTCTCTAAACTGGAGAGACAAGGATTTGATAGGTGCACCACTCAGTGGATAAGGAATTGGCTGGATGGTCACACTCAGAGTTGCAGTCAAGGGCTCAGTGTCCAAGTGGAGACCAGTGACGGGTGGTGTTCCTCAGGGGTCAGTATTGGGACTGGTGCTGTTTAACATCTTTGTCGATGACATGGACAGTGGGATTGAGTGCACCCTCAGCAGGTTTCCTGATGAGACCAAGCTATGTGCTGCAGCTGACACACTGGGGGGAAGATATGCCATCCAGAGGGACCTTGACAGGTGGGCCTGTGCAAACCTCATGAAGTTCAACAGGGCCAAGTGCAAAGTCCTGCACCTGGGTCATGGCAATCCCAAGCACAAGTACAGGTTGAGTGGAGAATGAATTGAGAGAAGCCCTGGGGAGAAAGACCTGGGGGTGATGGTTGATGAAAAAATGAATATAAGCCAGCAATGTACAATTGCAGCCTAGAAAGCCAAGTGTATTCCGGGCCGCATCAAAAGCAGTGTGGCCAACAGGTTGAGGGAGGTGATTCTGCCTCTCTACTCTGCTCTCCTGAGACCCTACCTGGAGTACTCTGTCCAGCTCTGGGGCTGCCAACATAAGAAAGTTGTGGACCTGATGGAGCGTGTCCAGAGTAGGGACAAGAAGATGATCAGAGGGCTGGAGCATCTCTCCTGTGAAGACAGGCTAAGAGAATTGGGATTGTTCATCCTGGAGAAGAGAAAGCTCCAGAGAGACCTTGTAGCAGCCTTCCAGTACCTGAAGGGGGCCTACAAGAGAGCTGGAGAGGGACTTTTTACAAGGACATGTAGAGATAGGACAAAGGGGAATGGCTTTAAACTGGAGAGTAGGTTTAGGTTAGCTATTAGGAAGAAACTCTTCCCTGTGAGGGTGGTAAGGCACTGGCACTGGTTGCCCAGAGAATCTGTGGAGGCCAGGCTGGATGGGGCTTTGAGCAACCTGGTCTAGTGGAAGGTGTCTCTGTCCACACCAGGGGGCTTGGAACAATATGATCTTTAAGGTCCCTTCCAAACCAAACCATTCTATGATTTTACAACAAGTCTGGCAACTACTGGTGATTCTTTTTGAAGTAGCATAATTTCTTTGTGCTGATTATCTATCACCTCTGCTCCCACATGAATCTTGTTGAAAAACTGTCTAGCCACAGTACTTATGTATTTCTTTAATAGTATTGGTTTCACTGTAGTTGTCTATATTAATTAATTTTTTTTTGCTTCCCATTCTTTCCACCATTCTTTTTTATATGATGAACAGTCATTCTCATACGTTTTGTGGTCTGTTAAATTTGGCTGTTTTCTTTCGTCTTTTGGGCTGCAGCTTTCATGACTGTATTGACTAAGTTATTCCCTCTGCTAATTTCTGTAGTGCCCTTGGTATGGGCTGGGCAGTATGTGACAGCAATTTCTATAGGTAGCTGTATTGATTCTGGCAAGTTATATGTTTCTTCTCCATTGGACACTTTCTTTCCTCATCATGTGATAAATCCTCATTCTTTCCATAACATTCCTGTTGTGTTACATACCCTGAAGGCATACTGAGAATCTTTATAAATATTGAGTCATTTACCTTTTCTCAGATGTCCTATGTGTTTTAAAGCTAACAGTTCTGCTCCTTGTGCACTCATCATTTTTGGTAAAGGTTCAGCTTCCATTACTTGCCCATGGCTGATCACAGCATATCCAGTCTGTTGTTGCCCATGCAGGTAGTAAAATGAACCATCTACCAATAGAATTAGGTCTGGATTCTGCAAAGGCACATCAGTTAAATCTGCTTATGGTTTACTTGATATGTTCATCACCTACTCACACATAATGTTGTTCCCCATCATCAGGCAAAGGCATTAGGGATGCTGAATTCAAGGTATTGCATATTTTCAAAGTTACATTATCTGTCATTAAAAGAATCAGTTTGCATCTGTGTGCCTGTTGCGGTAATAATGCTTGGGTTGCATACTGTTCCAAAAGTATTTCCACTTTGTGACCTAAACTGTTATAGGGTATCCCAGAATGAAGGGATTGACCCCATACAATAAGTTCTGTCCTCATTTCTTGTTGCTTCTGTCAGAGGCTTCATTAATTCCCATAACTCAAGAGTTCATTGTCAACAAAATCCCACAGTTCCAAGAAACCCTCGCAACAGTTTCTTTGTAATCAGACATGGAAGCTTTATTTATAGCTTCTATTCTTTCTGGGTCTATTACTTGCTGCCCTTCCCTTAGGATAAACCCTTAATATTTAACTTCCTCCTGACACAGTTGGAGTTTGGATGGAGATGTGGGATAACCTTTCTCTGCTAAGGCAGTATGTAGATGTGTAGTATCTGTTATACAGGCATCTTTATCTGTACTTTCTTTTAGCAAATCATTGCATATTGTACAAGAACTGATTTACCTAGTAGTTTTATGTCTTAAATAATTTCTCAGTATTTGTGAAAAAATTGTAGGATACCATGGGGAGACTCATCCAGGTTAATTGTCCATTCCATGTAAAGGCAAACTTAAGTTGTCCCCATCTAGAGGGATGCTAAAGAAAGTGGTAGTTAGATCAATCACAGTAAAATATCTTTCCCAATGTGGTATTTGTAAAAGTATGGTAGAGGAATCAGGCACTACTGGATGAGGAGCCACAGTGTGCTGATTAATTAGATCTTTTACAAAATGGTATTCAAGGCCCCTATCATCATCTAATCTATTGGGTTTTTTTAAAGGAAGTTTAGGAGTATTATTTAGCGACACACACTCTTTCAAAATTCCTTGAGCTTAGTACTGGTCTATTTGCTTTTGAATTCTCTCCTCTGCTTCTTGTGGATTAGTATACTGCTTTACAGCTGGGGGAGGGTTTCCTCCATTTGTTTTTGTTTACGGGTTGAGCTGAAACTAGTCAACCTACATCTGTGCTAATTTTACTCCACAGTTTTGTTGGTACTTATTTCAGTATTTCCAGTATTTTTAGCTCACTGTGGGCTTTCAGTGGCCACAGTCATCATTCCTATGATTATTAAATCTATTCCTTCAGGTCACAAATGTAATTCTATATCAAGAGCCTGTGAGAGATCTCTCCCTAACAGGCATGCTGGGGAGTCCTCTGCTAATACAAGTTACCCCCATACACTTTTGTTTCTTATGGTTACTAATAGGGGTTTACTTGAATTCTACTCTTTGTCCTGTGACTCCATGTATTAAAATTATGTCTGTGGTCCTAGACCCTCTTGGGGTTGAATTCACAAGGGATAATGTGGCTCCTGTATCTACCAAGAATTCAACTTCACACCCTTCAACTTTACCTATAGTATGTCCCTGTTGGTCCAAATGAATTGCCCACATATGAAATTTTTTTAATCTTTACGCACACACACCTCCCCCCCCAATCTGCAGAGTCCCTTTTCTATAGTCATTGTGATTGTGGGCAATTTTCCCCGGTGACAATTTCTACCTTTTGTCATTTCCCATGGCTGAAGTGGACATTCCCACTGTGTGTGTCCTAAATTCCCACAATAACAATGCTCCCTTCCAGCATTCCTTCCTGTTCCTCTTTCCTTTTTTCCTGGTCTTGGTTCAGATCTTGTATCTGGTCTTCTCACTCCCCAGCCTGTCCTTCACTTGCAAATTCCTTGTTAAAGACGCAGCTAGTAAATTTTTTTTCTGTTGATTTGTTTTTCTCCGTTAATCTGCTCAACTTTTTGCCTTTCCTTGTGCCCATCATATGCAAACACAGCAATACTCAAAATCTTTTGCATATTCTCTCCCTACCACCCAGGCATGTGTTCATTAAAGTATTTCTGTATATTGGGGGCTACCTGATTCACAAAGACACTAATCATGAGCACATCATAAAAATTCTGCAACATCAGTCCTCTGTGTTTTAGCAGAGCTTATTTGGAGCCATCTACAGAAACCACTTGGATGCTTGTTGGGTCTCTGCCTGTGTTCCTGCTCTAATAGCTTCTACTAAATTCCATAGCCCTGTTTGAGAAATGGTTTGATCCCCTGCATTGTTATAGTCCCAGTTTGGATCATTTGCTGGCCAGGGGTGTCTGTTACCTCTTGCCTGTTGAGTCAATTCAGAATCCTTATTATTTATCTCTCTCATCAGGTTGGAATAATTCCCTCAGCAACACCTGGGTATCTCATCTCCCTAACTCAGATTGTGTACAGTGCATATATTGGAAAAGAGTTGAGTGCATTTGTCAGCATCCTTCCTCAGTCTTGGCATTTTATGTTCCCCATAGAGCCAAGTCACCAGGATTCCAAGGTGGTTTTGTAAATATTTGTAATACAGATGGGCTCCAGCCGCAGCCCTCTGTTGCATGGCAACAGGATTAGGTAAGACGTTAGGAAGCATAGGATAGAGTCCGTCAGCCAGTAGAACAGAATTAGAAGACAGACAGGAAGCAATAGGTGGCACAGGTGTGATTGGGCCATTATCTAAGGCTTGTCCAGGCCAGTAGGCTTACCTACTGCAAGCCTTACCTTTGATGATGCCTCTTTCATCCCACACCTGACTTGGGTGTTTTCTCTCCCACACCTAACCATCCCAAATGTACCAGTAATCCATTTGTCCTGGGAACCTATCCTCTAGTTGATGTTGCAGAAAGGTAAGTCTGTGCTGGTCAAAGGTCCCTTGCAGTGGCAACCGTTCTTCCGGGGTTCCACATCTACTTTTAAATGGCCAGTCTTCTCGACATAAAATATCTGTGTCCTTCTTTTTGATAAATTTGCTGCACCAAAAATTCTTTTCCAGTTTTGTAGTACCTTGGCCAAGGGCACCCTCTTTCCTGTGCCGGGTATATTTCCTATCACTTATTTATCCTTGTGCACTTTGATCAGGCCAAGCACCAACCCTGTCTCCTTGTGTGGTTTACACTGATCAGGCCAACCCCCCCCTCTGTTTCCACTAAGTCTACTCATGGAATTTTGACAC